TAATATATAGCAAATTAAAAGTAGTGCAGACAAGATTTCCCATTGGTGAAGCCCTGGATGTTAGCTGCAGCGACATATTCAGAATGCTCTCATAGAAGCTGCTCATCAAATGATACAGGTCAAATGATAAATGATAGCTGCATCCAGAAAGGAGTTGAGGCGCAAATTTTTGCACGAAAGTTCATTTAGACCGATGTCAGACTTTGCGAATCGCTTGTAGCGAATCGCGCGATTGTAGCGAATCGCGCGATTCGCAAAGTCTGGCATCGGCTTTACGCTCCTAGTAAAACCGCGGAAGATGAACTACAGTACCAGTGTACCGCAGCACTTTGAAAAAGTTTCAAACTCTCTCCAAAAACGTTTGTTTGAAGTGTCGCAGAGCTTCCTGGACCACCCATTACGATTTACAACATTTTTATGCAAAACTTGACGTGTGACGTCAACTTCAAGTTACGTCGAGACTGACAACAAAAATGCTGTTATACTTGAATTTGCAGAAAATGCTCTTCCATAGATTTTAGTGACGCTTGACGACGTAACGATCATTCAAAAGTCATAGTCATCGAAGACGTCACTAGCTGCTCGGAAATATTGTCGTTATTTTGAATTATGCAGCTGTTTATCCACTAACTGACCTCTATCGAATAAAAGGTTGCCGTGAGTAGATTCGGATTCTCAAACTCCCACAGAACTTTGAATGGAGACCTTGGTGAATATATGGGGTCAAGGCTAGTGGTCAGAAATATGAATGAAAAGCAACTATATAACTTGCCAACCAGGTTGACAGCAGTCGAACTTAGCAAAAAGAAATACAGCAAAAAAAAGTAAGTTGGAGCGCCAAACTGACGATAAATGGCCCCTGTGTCAAAAGGGAGTCATATTTGCGATCAGGCTACTCATCTGGCATGCCTGCCAGCTTTGACCGCTCACAACTTGCCTTGAAAGCTCACGTAGCAGCTTTGATCTCTATATTTGTAACCTACCATTGGAAGGTCAAAAGTCTCAAGCAGAAATATTCGACAACATTTAGGCGAAAGAGTGAATGTTCATGTTACCGGAGAAGCAGGTTGAGCACTTCCCTAGGATGTTCGTCTGCCAGTACGTACTCGCTTCCTTCACAGGAAAGCCCGACATTCTTTCTAGAAGCGAAGAATCCTTGCCGTAGTTGCCCCCTTGAGGGATGCTGGCCGTAATTTGGCCTTGATTTAACCAACACAACACAGAAGAAGTGAGAAGGAGGCTACAAGAGTCTGGAAAATGCGGAACCACTACGAAAAGTGTAGCGAATCGTTGAACCACCAGAGCGCCAAGTAATGCTTTTCCTAGAAATGCGCCAGCGGCGAGCCATCCAGTCATACATATGTCATCAACGAACAACGAGCGGTTATTCAGCAACAAATCGTGTGCGCAACGGACAGGCGGTAAGGAAATGTACCACGCCAGGACTCCAAACCAAGGCCTGTACACAGTGCTAGAAAATGAGAGCTGACTAGCGTTTCGTGATCCCTTGGAAGGGATACATCTGACATTATATCTCTACGGACCTTTATGGGACATCGGAAGAGGGAAAGAGATTTTCTCTGGAAATATGGAGAAATTTCGAAACTTTCTGAAGATTTTTTGCCGCATCATTAGAGCTATGTAGTCCCGGATACTGTCCCCCCCCCTTTGGCCTTACGTAACTACCGGGATGAAACTCTATCAAGAGGTGCTAGGTTCCGCATGAGGCACTTTTCTATTGGACATTCAAATGTGCTAAAACTTCGCTATGGTGATTAGGCTGCAGCGCAGGGTAGCCGATCTCGTCAGTAGATCTATTAGTGCTGTCGCTGCTATTTCGAGGGATGCTGCGTAACTCGCGAGCTTGCTGCCTATGGTAATGGTCAGAAGAAATCGCCGCAACGGTTTTCCACGCTATTTTCCTCATCTAACAATGTAAGCAATTCATTCAAGATTTCAAATTGTCAAGTTCTCTGTTTTTTAATCCTTCAATCTTCATGGTTCGAAAAAGTTTAACCCATTGACGACCGCGCACGCCAAGCGTCTCTAGCGCGTGGGACCAGCGAGTTATTCGCGGGGTGCGGCTGTGGCCTCATTACAAGTGCCATTTTTCTTCTTAGCAACTTCCGGACCATTCTGTGTGTGTTTGCGGAAGGGGTCTCCAACTCGTCGTTGCTTGAAGTCTTGGAGGTTTCCAAAATGGGCGTTTGTGCAGGAGTCCTCTTCCACGCATACCTAAAAGGGATTGACCAACGCCGAATGGTGCATTCTCTTTCGCTTTCTGTTCTTGAGTTGAGAAACTTCCACACTCTCCATATGGATTCATAAGGGATCAAGAATATTACAGGGGTGGCCAAAAAAGACACTCCACTTCTCGTTCAGACGGCTTTAACCACACTTTGCTAAATTTGAATCAAGTGCTGTCGACTGGAAATTGATGAACACATCCCGTTCTATCAGTAAACGTCATGATACCCTTTTACATGACATCCGGAGAATTTGCCTTGGGAACGTTATGCACGGTTCGAGCTAGACGTGGTCCTCGACGGATCTCGGACCATTACAGCGCTATCTGCAAGGCCGGTTGTAAGGGTTCTGGCATGTCAGGAGCTAGTGTCTGTAGGAAGCTATTCATCAATCGAACGACTTAAGAAATTTAAGTAGCTGCTTCAGGCTGTAGCAATTTTGGAAGACCTCCTCGAAGTTGACAGCGGTTACAGATGACGTCATATTCTTGAGAAGACGGGATCAGCGATCAGGGGCTTGCATCTGCGTGTGGACGGACGTTTTAGGAATATTTACCTAAAGTGTTTCATAAACTAGGGCAATCTGTGCGAGTTAGAGCTTGCTGATATGCGGCATGAGCGAAGTGTCACTTTCTTTTTGACCACCTCCCCCCCCCTATATCACCGGTGATTGTTCTATGAGGTATACATTAGCGTTTGCCACTATCCGAAATGGGGGAAGCATTGGAGACTTTTT